TTCATCATTATGAGATATTCCTTGGTTAAATCGTGCAAGGAAATGTTACAACTAGAGTCCAGTTTTGATAGTAATTTTGTTCTGATATCGGAATCCGCAGCCGACGTTAAGTCAGATACAATAATCAATGCTTTGTATTGATCGTCTGACATTCTTTTATATGGGAACGTTTCAAATTCTATGTTCACTCTATTTGCATATGTCGCAATGTCTTCGACTTCTGCTCTAGTAAGCTTTAAACAATTATAACGAACGTTAAATATAGATGTCCGCTCTCCAAAAATTATGGTAAGCTTATCCACGGTTTCTTGCAAAGTAAAATCTCTTGGGTGTTTTGGTAGAATATAATTGCAATATCTTGTGTGTTCAGAACATCCACGTTTTTGCACCAACAGCCGTACTTTTGCTGATTTATCCAATGCTGAACCGTTGACAATATAAATGTCTTCATATCTCTTGTACCAAGCTGAAAATGTATTGCCACCATCTGGGTCGTAACTGAATTCTTGTATTCCATTGGCCAATGCAACTTTAAGTTGAGTATCATTTCTGCCCTCTGGAAGCTCTAGTTTGTGTACTGAAAAATTTCGTGCAAGAACTTCAAATAATTGCTGCGGTTGGTCCAATTGATGTTGCTGAGTTTGTAACAGTTGCACGATAACATTTTGATCAGCCATTTCCGGCGCCAGACTGTTATAACTCCCGCTTAGTAGTAAGAAGATAGAAATGACACTGCTTGAAACCGTTTACTTGCACAACTGGTGTTACAACCAACCGTCTGGGAAAGCCGTTAACTGCACACTTGTTCGAAACCAATCAATGCTCACGTGCCGTGTGGTTGGCTGAAAGGTCCAAGCTACATACAAACACACGCGCTGGAAATCGATCGGTTTCACGTGCAGTCTGTGTGGCTGACATACGTGATCTCACAACAGCTGCTTGGTGGAGTCGCCTTCAGTTGGCCATGCCGATGGCTGTCTAAATCACTTACCAGCTCAACTTGAGGCGTCTGAGTAGGGGATAGTTCTCTGCATTGTCGGTTCGTACTGTCGAAGCGCGATAGGAGGTTACACCGAGATTTCTATTTCAAATTGTTCGTGTCTTTCTGAAAAGTCTTATGAGTTGGAATTTGCTAATTGGCCAGAAGCATTGGCGAATAGAGAAGGTCGCCCCATCGAAAGGACAGTGCGTTTGAAAACCTGTTCTGTTAAACTGCATTCGACGTGGGTAAATGAATAACTGAACCAGATGAACAGCAGATCCACTCCCAGTTGCCTCGACTGGAACACTGTTGTGCATTTTAACGAGTAGTTTAATTAGGTCCATGCATCAGAATTGTTCATCAAGTCACCTATAGTCAGCTGGTTAGCTGAGGCAACATGTTTCGCTACCAAAATTCACAAGTACTCCTTAAGCAGAACAAGGAACTTGACCTAGGCGTCATTTGGCCTTCTTCGCCCGAGTACAATGGTGATCCACCAAATACTGCCTTAGCAAAAAGAGGAAGTGCCTTAGGACCGGCAGTTATCAGCTACCATACTTATCTTCAGAAAGATTCGAAGGAATTCCTGTGAAAATCATAGTGATATCAGGTTAAACCTAATTACATCCAAAGTGCTGATACACATCATACTCCATTGACACGTGAAAAATGAATCAGTGAAAGTCAGGCTGTCCTGAGACCAGTGCTGCTGTGTGATTCAGTGATCTGACCACCACGCGCTGAAGTCATTAAGAGGCTGAGGGCCTCTGGCCACTGGTACTTGTGCCATGTTACTCATGTATGGCGGGAGAATCGCATGAGTTACGCTGAAAGTCGTTACTTGGTGACATTCTCCCGTGTGCCTCGTTGGGGGTCCTAAGAGGCTGGGCCCGGTTCACCGAATTTCTGCAATTAGGTTACCTCAGTGTGGGTTGTTTGCCAATACCGTGTCTAGTTGTGTGGAATCGCGAAGTAGCAAGACCGTGACTAGGGGAAGTGATACGAATAGCTTTCCCCCCAAAGTGTAGGCAGGTTTGGTTTCGTTCACGTCTCTTGGTATGCGTTTCGAGGTAAGCCACATCGGTGGCGCCCTTTTATTCTTGTCCATATGTTCTCACAGTTTTATTTCCTACTCGATAATTGTAAAGTATTATTATTACTATTATCACTATTACTACTTTGGAGGCATGCGTTAGGGTGACCTAATCCACCGTAGCTCAGTGCGCGGATCTCAGTTGTTAACTTGAACTCTTTGAACTGACAGCTTTTCCCCCATTTAATTTTCGTGTAATTTCAGCCCCTGCCTGCTCTTCCAACACGCCCAATAGGGTAAATAAATCGGCTGTTGTCTGCGTACGACAGGTTTTTGAGGGGATGGTGACTCAGAATGTGCTCAGGGTTATTCACGGTGTAGTTCTAACACAGTCACTTCTGCCGCTGTTTTGTGCACAGTGGGTTCTTTGAGCTTGTTTTGTCCTTCTTGTAATGAAGAGAGTACCAGCAGCCGATCCCAAATCGGCTGGACATAATATACGGCATGGAGATTCGGTGTTTCCTTCCATACGGCTGTTAGATCAACGTGCCTTGCGCCAAATATTGAGTACAAAATTAAGCAAATAACGCCACTCGGAATATCGGCAACAGCGGACCGCAATACAAAAGCGCGCCAAGAAAAAGTAAACTTAGCAAAATAAAAATAGCATAAGGGAATATAAGCCAAAGAAAATCGGAACCGGTAAGTGCCTTTAAAGGTAGAAATATTGGGGCAGATTAGCTTGGTAGTTGCGTGAGGGTCATGATGATACAATGCTTCCACTCCTAATTATTGCAATAAAACAAACGCAATCGACGAGTTCACTTAAGTGAAGCAGAACTCAAGGAGTGTTGACTGATAGTGTGGCAGTCACCACCCTATAAAGAGCATGGGGCGAACACTTGCGTACAACTGTGTTGACCTTATGCCAATGAACTGAAAGTCTCACCCAGCTACTCGTTGTAGGGTAGTTGAGGCCTGAGATGCACTGATTCAATATTTTCTCCTAACCAGGTTCTGGCAAAGCCACTGCCTCCACTTTGGCTTGTGCCTCCTGGCAATCGATACGTGTCGCGTTCGCCAACGAACTCAGCTGACTGCATGCGCACGTCTTCCGTTCGAGGTGGTTTGAGGCAAAGACAACTCGGATAACCGCCTAACTGAATCAGTTGAGAGAGACGTGGTGGTTACATTGGTGGCATCTCGACGCAACGATTGCGATTTTACCACTGCGCTGCCCCTGTAACCATCGCTCATTCACCTCTCTCCCTCTCTCACTCGCATACGTGGATACTCTCAGACGAATCGCTCACCCTTGCTTACCACGTTCGTGTCCTGTCATCAGGCATACACCCAACCCACCACACTGTCTCCTGTGCCCTGCATGTCGGCCACCAGAAGCTGCGTGCGCCGTTCCCTCTATCCCCCCCCCCACTCGGTTGGTTTATCTGGTCGACTACGGCCTGCACGCGCGCAGTAGAGCGTGAAATCGGCAAATGAGGCGGAAGGCCAGAGAGCGCGCCTGCACTGAAACTCCGGTGCAGTCGTTTGTCGGTGTTGCTAGCCCGGTCGCGGCACTGCCCCTGATTCTCGGTTGGGACTTCACCGTGCCCACATCATGGGTACCCAGTGCAGATCTGCCCATAGTGGATGAACTGGTTGGGATAAACTGACCAGGACTACTGATTAAATCACAGTGTAAACAGAACGTCCCAGGTATATTACGTCTGCGGTGATTTTCCGAGTCCGGACGCAGTTGCGAGGACAATCATTTCGGTATCCCAGCATCCCAATACTGATGCTATTGGGAGAACGGATTGCCATCGATGAGACCACTAGTAGCCCACTGATGCGAAGGATGGGCAATCTCAGTATGCAAACCTGTTCACTGAGGTCGCAGTATGGATGCGGTTTTCATCTTGGGTAGCACAAAGATAATGCGTATAAAATTTGCTTCCATGGTTTTATTATGTCAACTCTCCATGTACTGGATGGAGGAGTCTAATTCAGGCGACAGAGTAAAAGGGGTTCGCCGCAACCATGGACCAGAAGTGTCAAATCACTGTGGCCTAAAGTACTGTGTTAAATTGGCTCGAGCTTGCGCGGAAGATCCAGGACAAATGCAATTTTCGTTAACGTAAGCGGCAGCTAAACAAGCTAACTACCTTTTTCCTGTTCACACTGCGCGTAGTGATGGAAAGAACCAAGGCTCATTTTCTTCTCAGCTCGTTTTGGGCATTACCACTCAACATTTATCAGACGCACCTGCCCCGTTATAGAGCACATGCTTACCCCTATACACAAAGTGTTTCAGGCATCCACATGTCCAAACTTCTGTTCAACTGGAAGTCCTTCGTCTACAACAGCAATGTATCTGGTTCATATAACCCATATTTCCGGGCGGCGTCAAGTTACCTCTCCATCCTGCACTCCCCACTACATGTGTGTGACCTGTGAATCAGTTGGTACATTGTTCCTATTTGAATTGTGAGGTTCCTCGTGCGATTGCATACAACCCAATCGACTATTGTGCGGCGCTGGTCACCTAATTCTAACGCTACCACCTCTGAAACAACTTCTGTGAGGAGCTACTGATCGTAATTGCTATACGTTGGAAACATCTACTAGCAGTGCGATATAGAGACAGAAAAGACGCACTTGTTCTGTGGTGTTTGATAAGCAGGTGTATTTGTACATGTGATCAATGAGTCAGTGAACAACGTCCACCGATAGCGTAAAGCGTGAGGGTATCGAACAGTAACTTGATGGCCATTCACATGTGTGGAACCGTCATTGTCTGATATACAGCAGGCACAAGAGAGTGGAGCAACAACGCGGCTACCCAACTTAATGAGATAAAGGGTTTACGGGTGAAAAGACTTGCCCAATTACAAATAAGTGTCCCCCTGATACAAGCATGTAAGGTATCAACAGACTGGTTCAAAAATCACAGCCAAAATGAAGCGTCTAATGAGGCAGTTGGTTGTGAGAAACCGCAATACTCACTACTCTAGAATGAGTAATCTTGTGGCTAGATAGTGTATATAAGACTCGGTTTCATCGGAGGAATCGTGGGAACTCGCCGTAGGCAGCTGCTGCGGAATTGACGGTTGTGTGTTGATGGCCAAGATTACTCGGTTCAAGATTGGCGGTCAAGTGGGTTTGCAAATCGGTCTCGAAAGTAGATGAATTTGCAGCACACACACTAAGTGTGTCCGATCTTCCGTCACTTCGTCCATTCGCTTCAATAGACAAGGCATTCGATCCCCTGTATTGGGTCCAGGTAATGGCAGCTTCAGTTGACGCGGTTTCTTTGATTTGAGGAAGGTTGGGCGGCTGGTCTTCGACCTCGACTGGGGACGATGCGATATGGGAGTCGATGGATAGGGTAGTCCGTTGAGGACAGGCGGTGGGGAACCACGTGCTATGTTGTGTAGCATAAGCACCATACAAACATACCCTTTCGTTTAGTAACGGCCATACCCTCTGATGCTGGTCAGTGGATTGAGTACGCTGTGAGTATGAAACGGGTGTTAGGTTCGCCTCTATTGAATGGACCAACGCACGAGATCCATAGGCAGATGGGTCGCCACTTTGTGCTACCATCTGCGAATCGAAACGGGATGAAAGCGGAGAATTTTCCGACGCCGCCGTCTTCTCACTGGACTCGTATTTGATTCGGGAAATGTGAAACGATTCCATGATCGCCTTGTAATTTGGTACCACTACCGATGCGTCTGTACACATACGCGTCTGGTCGGTGTTTGGTGCCTGGAGGACATCTTCCACCGGATTACTGACAGGTGCAGTATGCAAATCCGATGGTACGGCAAACGAGCACATAGATGTTGGGTCTGTGTGTTCCGGTAGATGGGCCACTGATGAATCTGAATTCGAAGTAGCTCGTTGAAATTCGTCGTCTGACTTCCGGTAGCTGCCGTCTCTTACTCCGCTCACGCAGGAGTTGTGTGCTCGCATAGCCGGTTCGTTAGAGTAGACGGTCCGTGGTGCACTGTGTATGGCAGTCTAACAAAGGGAAAAAACAAGTATCATGTATTGTCTTATTTCATCAGGATGAAGAGATGTATATGCAAGATGACCCCCAATCAGTGTTTTCGTACCGGAACAGTAAATAAAGTTGCTTTTGTCTAAGTAAAACTGAGTGCTGGAACCGTAGTTCTTCTTAGCTGTGTACTATCAAAACTGTTACCTTATCATGATCAACTACCTGAGCTGTCCAGTTTTCCAAGAAATTTGGTAAGTCGTGTTGCTTCTACGAAGGGCATACCACAGTGCTCAAAGTTAATACGGTTTAGGGTAGATGTGCTAAAATCATACAAGAACTTTATCTCACTTCGTGAGCCATTCGAGAGTTGCTTGACCAGCGGTAGTGTCTCGACTCGGCCTTTGGTGCTGTTGTTGAAGTAGTGGACGATTCAGTTTCGTAGTTTACTTCAGTTCCATTCCAACGACATTGTAAGGGGGTCAGCGGGTGTGCCAGAAATTCTACAGGGGAGTTCAGTCTCTCACTAGGCGAGACCGCATCGGGTAGCTTGGCTGACAAATTGCCCATGGACTGTGCCGAATTCGGTGAGGAGCAAAGTTTGTGTCGTTCCTTATTCTCTCGCCTCCATTTTGCACGTCGGTTCGAAAACCAGACTTGGATACGGGACTCTGGTAGCAGCATCGACTCCGCTAGTTGATCTCTTGTCACCAAATCTGGGTAGTGTGTTCGCTCAAATTCTGAAAAGGAGGTCCGAACGCGTGACTGAGTGTGAGAGGAGGCTAAAGGCGGCAGTCTAAGATACTCGGTTGAGTGGGTTGGTACCACCACATGTTTAGCGCATCTTGAACGTGCGGGCATCGCTTAAAGTAAGCAACAGTTGTGAGTAGTGTTCAACTTGGTGGTATAAATACTAGCCCAGGTCTATTCAGTACAAAGTAGCTTCAGTGTTTTCCACGTCTCTTCCCCTAATTAAGAAGATGAAAGCCTTATCAGATTTATAATTAAGATCAGTTGGATTACTTTGACTGGGTAACCCGCTTAGAACAGGAACCGCGGTAGTGTTTGCCAAGGCAAAAAGTAACATTACGACATCTGTGCCAACAGTTTCAGAGACGATAATGGCTAGAGTTACTGCCCTGGTGTATGTAAACGCTTCTAACTTACAGTAGTCCATGGTGTCTCATCCACCATTTCGGTACTTGTCTGCGGACCTGGTACAGGATTGGATCGTGCGAGGGACGTGTTCGGATACCTGAAGATTGAGCCGTCCGTAGGCCCTTAACCAGCAAACTAGGTAAGCTCCTGCTCCAGATCCGTCATGTTAGGTCACATGCAGTTGGAGTCACATTCAGGTAAGCTGCGGAGACGGTTACTAGTTACTCCGTGGCATCTGTACCTCAGGTCCTATTTTGTCCGGAAACTATTCCCCCATTGACTTAAATGGTGGTTCCAGCCTCCTACGAATGAGCGTAACGCAAGTGATCTCTCCAACCGTAATGATCACCCAGGGAGAGTTGGATAGGGCAAAGCAATTTGGAGCCTTGGAATATCAGTTTCACATAGCCTCAACTCCCAGTTCTACAGTACTGGTGGGTGATAGGAGTTGACATTGAATTCACGCGAATCAAGTGCCAATTCATCTAGCATCTTCAAAGGAACGGGAAATATTTACCATATCACGTCCAACACTCGTTCGGATGCAGCCGAGCGTGCTGAAACTCATTCCGTTATATGCTTACATCGGTTCCCTCTGAGGAGGTGAGGCCGAAGCGTAATCAAGGTGGTTCAGTTTATTCAGTCGGTTCCTGACCACTACGCCGTACAAAGGCCGTTAACTTTTATAATGCAATGTTGTACGAACGAGCAAGCTACACAGCTTAGAAGTTTGCACGCAAAGTGCGCGGAGTCACTAGACTCCATAAAGACACTTCGCTGCATATGTACTCCCTGACGAATTCTGAGTTGGTACATGCCATCACTCCGCATTTTTACTCGCGTTAGCATGTGGTGGGCACCTATATCTGCTTGGTCAATAGCTTACTTAATGTTCCTATCTCTCGGCTGTACACATCGCAGCTAGTCTTTAGGAAATGCAGTGGCTGCCGCTTGGCTTTACACATGCACCTTTATTTCGTGTGTTGATGATGAACGGGCCGAACTCAGAACAGCAGTGACTCTCCAAAACCCGAAAGTCTACTTCTAACCGCTGCGTCAAACACTGCTCGCAGAGTTCAGTGGCCTAGTGGTCATGGCGATAGACGCCAAACACTATGCGCCGAGTTCCAATCCCTGCTCGATTATCTCTACCTAATGAGTCTAAACAAAGACGAAACCGTCGGTCGTGGAGTGCAGGGATGGGAAAGCGCCACAGCGAGACTCCCCAAGTTGTTCCTTCTGTCTGCATCTCGTAAGGGGTATGTGAGTGAAGAACTGCGCTGCGCTCATATTCCCTAAACTGGGACAGACATCTCGCGGATGTCGGTAGTCGCTGCTAACGACATATGTGAAACATCAACTTCCGTCACAATAAACCACATGTACTGCACAGATTCGCAATCTTGCACCAAAGCTCCTTCAGGTCTAGGTTACTCACTGCTATCTTATTTCCCATGCAGCCCTATGTTTAACTACCCCTTATGTTTGATATGTGTCCGTTTTGCACTCCATCTTGCTCTGTGTTTGAGCGAGGTTCATAGCCCAGTCGTTCTGTGCACATTTCGTTACTTGTCTTCATAGTTCGAAGATTTCTTCTCTGGTGGTGGCACTCAGTGTTGTGTAGAACCGAAAACTTTGACTTCCAATAGACGGAAGTACCATGGTAAATGGCGTGCCTCATCGCTACAGAGAAACGCGGCTGACTGTCTTGTCCTTGACACATAACAGCCTAGTGTGAATAACACCACATATCGCAGCACGGAGAGCTTCAGATTGAGGGAACCAATTCCCCACTCTCACAATTCGTGAGCTGAATCAAGCCACGGGACATCAGTCCATTCTAATGAACCGGTTTGGAAGCAGCATATTTAAAGGGAACCCGAGCAGCACCATTAAAGCAAAGAGGTAGCTAGAAGGGCGAAATCCATTTCGCACATACTTTGATCTGCGTCGAGGGTCAATGAACAGGATAGGGTCACATGAGCAATTGGAGGTAACCAAACTCTCACCGACCAGGATAGCCACATCGACACCGTAAACTTCAAAAGAACTTCGGTTTCCTGCACCAGATGGATTATTCCCTCTTGATGGCTCAGTGCTCCCATCTCCATCACTTTCTACCTTCCGAGCTAATAACATGCTTTCGTGCTTTAGACGATTAAATGCGCAAGCATGCCTCGTTTTACAGGCACTTCATTTACATGCACTTTTCTCAAGTTCACGCTTTGTGCAGTCTGCTATTAACATCATGGTTGCGGTTATCTGTTTCCGCCAGCCGACCTCACGATGCAAACCTAGTCGTGAGTCCTATATTGCTCATTACTCTGCCCTTTAGAATCACAGTTACAGAATATATTACAAATGCTTCCGTCCCAAACGTTTCCTGCACAGATCGTGCGTACAGTCTAGGTTTAGAGCTTGAAGTAGTAATATTTATGTACAATACATTCGACATAAGTCGATTTAGCGTAGTTTCGTCGTTACACACACTATGGAGCAGCTGGGTTTCCAGGTGTATATTAAAGGTAGAACAGACTGCGGGAAGTATATCCCGAAGTTTTGGTATCTCTTAGCAATAAGTCAGGTTCGGCCTAGCCCTACTTCTACTAAAGCAACGATGAGTCGTTCTTTGGGTTAGTATGATAAGAATCGACAATAATGTTGTTCCGGTTTTAAAAGCTTTACCACCTGATGGAAAGCAGCATTAATGCGGAAGTAGCAAGTCTGAAAGTGTACAAACATCTTTCCTAATCATTCCTCTTCTTAATTTGGTTTGGAAGTGGTCCATATTTTGTTATGCTTCGACACACTTCAGTGGTGGCATATCCATCTTTTGCTTCAGAAGTGCAACGTTACATTCACCCTGGTGAGGTTCGTTCAGCTTAAATCCAATGATCTCGGGTCTCATTTCGCAGGACAATGGAGTAACGGAAGCTGATGAGAATTACTAACGATTCCAGTGAACGTAGATCGGCTTCATGTATGAAGTCAGACGCAACACAAAATGCTGACGTAGCGTCATTTTCCGAGTCTGACGTAAAGGTCACGTAAAAATGTGCTACATGACTCTTCCTGGGTAAGAGATTAGGAACGTAACTTCGAGCACATGTAGTTTTTCAAGTGCGATACGACCGGAACTGTCACGCGTTGCCTAAAACAAAGTCCCCGGTGGCATCGTTGACATTACCTTCCTCAAATAACAGATGAATTACTGATACGTAGCAAAGCGTGTGTGGTTGCAAGGCTTTTGGAGCGGATGACCAGTGCACAGACTATCTCGTCTTCTCCAGTTGCGAGCCTGGCAACCGTGGCTGAAGCATGACCTCACTGCACTGGAACAACCTCAACGTCTGGCTTCCAAGTACCCCATTGGATTGCGCCACCTTCCATACGAGCAGAGGATGAAACGTTTGAGCGTATTCAGTAGAAGGGATCGCCGACTATGGGGCGACTTGATAATGGCATATTTGATTTTACACCCCCAAATCATGTGTGCCGCAACTCAGTGGTAACACAAAATTGAGAGGTCACCACTTGAAACTAGCAGAACTGTACAACCAGTTGGTGGGCCGTAGAGTTTCTTTTCAACTCGCGTGTTACCAGTGCAACTTTCTTCCTGAATCAGTCGTTTCCGCACCTACACTAGGCACACTTAAAAATCGCTTGGACCACGCACTCAGCCAAGTACATTTCGTTAGCACTGTCTCTCCGTGCTACTTCAGGGAAATGGGTTGGATTTATTATTTGTCGTCTAATGGTTATACAAAACTACGCGGAGGGCAGTTCTACTGCACTAAAAAATGTTGAGTCCATTATTTTGCCAGTAAAAGTACCAACTACCTTTGGAGATGTTTCGGTGTTGCACTTCCCAACACGGACTAATTGCCTTTTTCATTAATGTTTTCCGGTAACCCACCAGACCACCCGACGTGGCTTGTAAATCAGTGCTCCTTAACCCGTAGAAAGTCATTGTTCATTGTTCTTACTCAGGCTTATGCTACTAATAATAGATCGAGCAGAGATTCTGATAGCCTTTTGTACCCGACCTTTGGTATGTACACAATTTGTACGAAGATGATAGACAGCCAGCTGGTAGCTTGTCAGTGAGAGAAAACAGGTTTCAAATAATTGGAAAACTGTGTGATCAATGAAAAGTTTCATCGTAGCCATATCTATATCTTTTCTCGGCCAGATAAATCAAATTCCTCCTTAAGAAAATCGTTCCTGCATAATTCTCTCACGTTGGTCCTTGACGCTTTCCACTAGTATTCAAAGGTCCCAAACACTCCTACAAATACTTGCTGTTTGTTGAGTGGACAATCTCACATAAGCAGATATTATAACAGATATTAAGACAGCTGAACACACGAAGTGGGATGACGTTGTCTTATTCAGAGTTTGTCACTCAATGGACCGTAACATTTAGGAGCGTCCGTGTCCCCTGGATGCAACTGGAAAAGGTTAAGGACCATCTTAAGAGACCTAGGGAGGGACATCATTTCCTTGCGGAGGAAGTTGAAAGCCCTCTGGATTCATTTGGATGAGAAAAGTCATAGTTAAGCAATCATTACACATCCGGAGATGTACTAGATGGTCGTTTCGCCTATCGAGACTCGTCAGTAGCCCACGTCCACCGGATCTACTGTATCCCAATCTATGATTAGCCAGTCAGCAAATTGTATCTGCTGTTCCCTGTCTAGCAGCAATCACCTGAGTAGCTTGCATGTCACCTTGATCAGTAACGGCTTATAAGGGAAGTCGTGGGTCTGGAGGTCAGTCCTGTACTCTGACGTGCAAAACATGCATGACACTGGAGGATGTGCCGAGCTATATCATAACCACATGGTAGACATTACGGTTTACAGTTGTCATTAATGGTTATATGATTTCAGTTCGCAGTTTGTAAGAGAATTCATAGGTTGGAGTGCAACAAGATCAAGTGGACGCACGCTATCCGGTTCCAGTAGGGCAAATCTCCGTCTAGTTCTTTTCCGGATATACGGGACTGTGAGTGACTACGGCTGCAACGCAAATTCTCAACAATACCAGAAACCCCCCTACTTCTCCCCAACATACGGGGATATTTCTCAGGGAGCAAAAACCCTAGTCCGTTCGGGTTCAACTGGACACACACTTGACCCCCTGCAGTAGTCTTAAACTAGCACCATCAATGAAGTTCTGTACTTGAAACTAACCCGATTTATTGAACGTCCATGTGAAGTCAAGCACGGTTCAGTTCAATGTAACTGTATTGACGACAACATGCCTTCGGCTGCGATGCTCACTAAGAGGGAAAGTAAACTTCTTGCTTGATACAATGCTAGTAGCTTTCCGAGGATAACACTTGAAGCCTTCCAAGCGTTCCTTTTGCGATCGAATTGAAGCCCGTTGCAGCAATGTCAAGTGTTTGCTAACAACTCCACTAGGAACCGGTTCACAGAAAGCGTCCGCCCGTAACACACATACAGGCACGTAGTAGCAACCGGCGTGAATGCTAGTTTATGGTTTTTGTAGTATAAAGGATATCGGGCCCCTATGCACTGTGCTAACTTGAGGCTAGTGGAACAGATTCCTGCTGTGGGCCTCGTCTTCAGCTTCAGAATGAATCACCCGAATAAACGACTGTTAACCTTGGCAATCAATTAAATGCCTCAATTTACTAATGAGTCATCTATTACGGTTAGTTTTGGTGAGGTGTGATTGATCAGCCGGGTACATAACACGATTAGGTACAGGCTGCGACCTCGTCATTGTGCTAGGAAAAGCGATTAGAACTATATGATAGAGAACTTTGTGTGCTAACCTTCTTCGAGTACTTCCAGCTGTCCGGGAGTGAATGCTGTCCGATTCCTTTGGATTTTTTTAATCTCCTCGGAGACGGCTGACGAACCAGTGGGTTGTGTTTTAAGGTGCATATTCTCGGAGTCCTCTCTACTGCTCGTGGTGGACGATTTATCACCAGCTTCGTCCGTCACTGCTGCGACGCGGTTCAATACGCCTGATGACTCTCGAGTAAAGCTGTGTGAATCCGTGCCACCACTAGTAATGTTTACCGGTGCGCGCTCCCAACGATCATTCGCGTTTAAAACCTCGGTACTCGAGCAGTCATTCACGTAATTTTCAACGGTGTACGTAGCCATGCGCGGTGAAATCGGATGATGTTTTCTGTTTTCTTTGTGCAGTTCCTGGAATGAGTTTTCTGAGGTGACTGTGTTCCTCAATGCTATAAGTAAACAGTACGAAAGCATGGACCAGGAAATCGTACTTTAGCTGTGACGAACAGTTTTAGCTCGAGACTATCGATATTGTGTGTTTGAGGGCGAAAGCTTTTGTAGATGCCCCTGGGTCCCAAGTCACAGCTGTCTAGACAAATTGCATCATATACTGACATGCATGCGCAAATTACTGCTGTCCCCCGTATTGGATTAAGGAGGTGATACATGGTGGGTCAAGCTGGTTTTGTAGGCCACACGCCCATGCGTGTTTTTCCAGTACCGACTAACTGGTGAATTCCAACATCGTTAAGCAAGGATACGCAAGGATGCTTAAGACATCACTGACCGTGTTGCATGTATATGCCTGTGGTGGATTACCGGTAATGAAGATTTAGGTAGTAGGTTCAGTAGTATGAAGTGCTTCTACCATCGTTACAGCGGCTATTATTGAAACTGCACAAGTTAAAAATGAAGGGATTCAATAGAACTATGATAAGCCTAGCAGCAGTAAATCTACTGTAATTCTGGCTCATGACATGCAACGTGGTTTAAGGTTACTGCTTACATTAACGTAAGCAAGGTTTACGGTGTGCATCAGAGTAGGTCGGAACCTAAACACTTTTGGTGATGCAGCTCAGTGTTAGAAGACAACAGTCCCAGACATGGTTACTTTAGAAAATGTTCTGTACCTGGGGTAGTAGGCTTTGATTTTAACTAACACACGGTCTCTAATGGGAGTACATACAACCAACTTAGGCGAGAAGAGCACAGTGATCGGTTAGCAGCCACCTAGTCACCGGTATAAGTTGCTGTAAGGTTAACCACAGTTAGTGAGCGGAAACAATGGAAAGATTGGACTGGAGCGCTAGGCTGAATGAAATCGGACTAATAGGGAATCCCAATGGGTGATTAGCAACTGAAACAACCTTTCGTTGCATAGCATGTGATAGTCAGTTAATAGAATGACTTGATTCCACTGGTTTGGTCACTGTTTGGTTGAGTTTACAGTTGACGCACCTATAAAATTGAATTCTGGCCACCAAATCAATGGATATCTGCTACATTGTACAAACCAAGACTCATTGAACGATGGACCATGTAACCATGTACTCACCGTCTATGTTGGTCGAGTTGGAACCGGGGCGGTCACTTGTGCGCGGATCGCGTTTCCACGTTCGATCATGATCGAGTGCCGGTGCGCGATCTCGATCACTCTTCAGGTTTTTAAAGACGTTGTCCTCGGTTAACGAAGCGACTAACTGCCTCAACTTTTGGGTTGAATCCGTGCTGATCACGTCTAAACCCTTGAAGGACTGGGAAAATAAGTGACCAGCATTGAAAGATGTGTGCTTGTGCTGGTCTGCTCCACCGGACATCTTGGAAGAGAAGCCATTAGCCGGGCGAGATGCGCGGTTCTCATCGAGATAATAAGTCTGCTTGTTAACTGAAGTCGAGTGTAACTGGCGAGGCCGTTTATGCATCTGGTCTCCAGAAAAAAAGTCCAAACAGCTGAGAGTGTTCGAACCGGATTCCTCGTTGAAGCTATCCGTAGTTGTATTATACTGTACTGGGCCGTTGGAATTGGTTGATTTTGTGGGAACACTGCACCCCAGCAGAACATTGTAATCAGGGTAGGGGGTTGCACTGCTTGAGACAGATTGTTCTACGGTCGCACCTAAATCACAGTTGTTATACATGAATGTAGGTGACGTTTGCCCTGGTGTGGTGTACCACGATGACCAGGCAGCTGGGTGAAGGAGATTAGAAAAGGTGTCATAAACATTACTTTGCATATGGCCATTCATCGGAGTCGGTGGGCTCGAAATCATTCCGGGGTCATGATATCCACCTTGACTATGCATTGCCTGAGTCTGGTGCTGAGTGTGGGCAGCTGCCACCGCGGCGGCTGCGAAAGCGGCCGGATGAGATGGGGGAAACGGATGTGAAATTCGCTCCGACGGCGTCCCAATAGTATCTACACCAGCTGAGCCACGATGCGCAGTAAGTGACCAAGGATAAAGTTGTCTGGCGGCGTTCATGTTGCCAAACCCACGGGTGTCTCGATGAAGCAGGTGGGAGGGCGAATTCAACGAGTGCTGAGAGAAGAGAGTGAAGGGTGCTATATTTTGTGCAAAATTAGCCGTCGGCATCGTCGGCATGTGCTGTTGCTGTACTTGCTGTTGCTGAGCAAAGTTAATGGCAATTGCTGATCTTACTGCACTTTCTGATTTCGCCGGGGAAGATGTTGTTAGACATGGACGAATGCCTCCATTTAGACTGTCCGTTGACCTACTCGAAACGGATCCTTGAAGTTGGGTTTCACCACACACATTCCTCAAAACACGGTTGATGGATGAAACCTGAAATGTCAGAAGGACCACAAGTGTAGACGTTTGATACGTATGTGGCGAAAACAAGTGCGATTGGAAATAGAAAATCTCGAACTTTGCCAGTGTTTTCGGCGCTCTTTTTCAAGGTTTGTTTATAACATCCGCGGAAATATCTGATTCCCTCCGGAGGTCGTTAGGACTGGCAAGTGGGACGCACCTGTACTTTCAGTGCACAAATTGCAGCTTTTGTGCTGTGCAGCTAACGTGCACAATTCTGGGTGGATCTCCATCCTGTTATTCTGGAGTGGACTGCAACACGGTGAAGCCATCGGACAGCTTAATGTGTAAACCCACGCCGCTGAGCTGTTGGCATGTAAAGCAATGCAATCAAATTATCTTACTTAACCCATTTTTGTTCGTAAACAACAAAGTTACCTCACCAAGCAAATGACGGACCCAATGATACTCCACAATCGTCATCGGTTCAATATCGATTGAGTCTTACCTCGTACATACAAGGCCGCACTTCTTCCGGTGCGTGTATAGTCATTTTCACACTCAGCTTAGCATCATCTAGGTGGAAATTCCTATTTTCTATCCGCAAACTTTAGGGATTTGCAGTAGTTAGCCTGTGAGTAATACGGCCCATCGTTAGGCCATTTTTATTTCTCTTAAGGTATTCACCGGAATGATGCTCACCGATGTTCAATCTGTCGGCTACCTCAAGCTTTCTTCAAGGCTTGTCGCTGATGCTTATGTGTCAATAACTACCGTCGACCACATGCAAACATGTCGATTGACTTCGCAGTTGATTGTTTAATCACTTAGGCGCTACGCACTCAGCATGCCACCGAAACCGACCCGGTCCATACGGATCACTCGATTTTATCGCGATGTGAACAAGTTGGACAAGTGTACTACCAGATGTTGCGCGCTAAGTCAACTCAAAGGAGTGCTCCTTTGACGTTATAGTCCCCCCCGTTTTAATCCGTGATTTGCTCAAGTTCCATGGCCGGTCGGGTAAAGTTCGACAAATTTGATCCCAATAGCCAATAACGCTTTTCGACACAATGTTACCCACTCCGACCAAATGACCATCTAGGCGCATACTGCAGAGCGAGGGATTAATGCTGGCTGAACCCGCAGTGGATGATCTCGTAACTGTAGCGAGACTGATCACAAACTCTGTTTCGAACGTAGAGTGGTGAATACCTGGAACAACCTGCCGCAGCCGGTAATAGAGGCGAATTCAGTGGCCGAATTTAAGAAGCTTCTGGACAAACACTTTGCAGAGGTAAAATATAAAGAGCGGAACGATAATTAATACGTTAATATCCAAGAACGACAATTGATGCAGCTACACAGAGTATGCTCTACTTGCTGCTTCTAATCAGTATCAGTATCAGTATCAGTGCGCACACATCGTGTGTAGCAAACATTTTCATGGCGAGCGCCCTAAACACGGATAATGTTCACTTCTTAAAATGCCGGTAACAGAAGTATGGCAAATTATGGTGTAAATTAAGATTGCTTGGTCCATTCCAAACGCAGCCTATGTATCAAAACTCGGAAGTGAATACGCATCGAATGTAGGGTTATAACACAATTTTCTCAAACGCAGTTGGCCTGCGAACTCCTCGATGGAGCCGTTGCGGATGGGGTTTGATCTTTTCTACCCTGGTAGATTACCTTGTTCCCATTTCACAGAATGCTGGCATTGAGTACATTTAAAAGTCACGCATCTGTGGTATCTAGTGCCTGTCCGTTGTATCCCCTCTCGTCAGCGTTCGATTCGTATCCCACCAAGGAACGCTGTTAGTCATTGATTGGGATAGCTGGGGTCCTCACTGCGAGTGTAGACCCACCTCGTCTCGTCGTTGAGGTGAGTCGACGCACGCAAGCAGACAGCCCGACGCATGTATGTTAACGCGGCCGATGTTCGCACATCGGATGGACTGAGTGCAGCGTCTGGTTTGGAAAACTTACAAATCTGTTTGGACAACTCAGCTGTGCAGTCATGTGGAAGGAGCCCAAACTTGGTTAGAGGGTCGCAATAAGAGCTTTCAAACTAGTGTTTGAAGTAGACTCAGCGTCCACACGCAAGGACTATTTCATTATGTTGCTCACATTCGGCCACCCGCACATGATGTTGGTGAAGCGGAAGAAACAGTAGGGAGTTGCATACAGCGTAGCGAATGTACAAGCAATGTTTCTAGGTCGATGAAGTCTTTAACCTGTCTCTGTTGTTCATCGGAAATTGTTCAGAACAAAACTGGTTGAACCAAACCGGATCCGCTGAAGTTGGAGCTGTCCGATCAGTGGTCGACTGAGAAACGCAGTCAACTGACTACTTGTCAGTAGGATGGAGAATGGTCCACAGTTGTTCAATGTTCAACAGTTATGCCTTACAGGTACAATAAAAGGTTGATCTCAGTTGGTTCGGCATCTTCTGAGGGAATAGCAGACCCGTAGTTCGCCCGTGTATAATAGTTAAAGGCTGGGAAGTTCGGCCTGTCGTTATCTAGTCATCAGGTTTGAAGAGAAAGTATCTGTGTAGAGATTACATAGTTATCGGGATAATGGCTTAGTTGCGTCATCAGACTGATATAAATGGAATGAAATGCGCGTCACATACTAGCAGTTGAAAGATATACGACTTACACTGGGTATGTTTTCTGGCGTACACACACCCTCCTGTAGCAGCCGATCACGTATTTCCCAAGCGAATATGGAAGGACATTCTCGCTTGTAGTGTGCTATCTTTAGCACAACCATGTTGGTGGCAACCCTTGGTTTGCTGCCTCCGATTGCCTTTGGTCGAATTGATCCGGTTTCATAATATCGACAGAGAATTTTCGAAACACATCCATTGGAGACTTGTAGAATACGCGAAATATCGCATGGGCGTGCGCCAGAATGTGCAAGTTCGATGATGCGCTGGCGGGTGCTATCTGGAAGTGGCCTTCCATTGACGAATAATCCTCCGAGTTGATTGACGCCAGAATGGCCTATAAAATACATGAAAGACGCCAGTTTGCGCAAAGTAGCAACCACCACCGTTGTTTTCGACCTCAGCAGGACTAAGGTCAAGGATGAGTTGTTGTAGTACTTATGTTAACAGCAGAACAAAAAGAGTACGGTGCTATTAATCAGTATACCATTTCTTATTTTATCAGAATTAATAGTGCCTCCATCTCTATCGGTGGTTCGTGGCTGACGCAAGTCATTGACTAACCAGTCGGTTAATCTTCCGGCCGTGTGACAGGATATCACAGAAAATAGCAAAGTTATTTGCCAAGTTGTTGACTGTGTTGCACTTACCTCTCTTGAACTTTTGCCGTGTGCCGTCATCGGAGCCGTCTAGCGAAGCATTGTCCAAGGTCATCGCGCGAAGGGCTGTGAAACGAGCAATGAAGGAAATAACTTGCGTGTCAGAATCATGGGTCATCAGTTGTGGATAACCGTCTCTTCAGATAGGGTTTACGTAATTTTGTATATCCTTACTGAACTACAACTGTTCTTTCAACTCCTACGCAAGTGTATGGATCTGACATATACGGAATTACGGGCAAACGCTCTTCCCGGAGATTTGTTAAATGTTGCTGAAGCTTCACGTTTGCCTTCAGAAAATGTTGAAGAGTTCGGTACGAACAGAAAGGGACTTTAACCTGGATAGCAGATATCACACATAATTGCCTTTTAAATCCGAATTACAGATGCTCGTTTTGGCTGTGTGTTTCAGTATGGCCAAATTTGTGGGATGACATTAAAGAATGCCTGAAATGCGCCTATTGATCGGGTTCCCATTTGCTCCAGCTGACTTCAGTCCTGTCAGATTAAGCTGCGTCCCTTCTAGCGCACTGTCATTATGCACTAGGGGATCACGTTCTCTCTCTCCCTTAACCCTTCTAAGTGTTGTGATATCTCATTTTCTTTTCTCCTCCCTGACAGACTGCGTTCTTTTTAAACGGCTCTCCTCCTTTGGTTGTGAGTAACCATAGCATCCCTCGTTCGTACTCCGTAAAGTATCTCGGTGATTTCTTGTCCTATAATTTATCCTGGTCGACGTATATTCTTAAACCTTTACAAAAAATAAAAAAATTATACTTTTGTGCTCAAAATGCTCGCCCTACCACATGCTCTAATTCTAAGGTTTGTAAATGCATGTATTCTCCCACATTGGCTGTACTGTTTCCCTGGACTACTTCAAAAGGACTCTACTCTTCTTGTGAGATCAGGGAAATTTATTTCCCGATGCTGTGGATTAAGCAGAGAAACCCTCGTTGAGTTTGTGGTCAGCAAGCATTTTGACGCATTTTTTAACTTCTCATCCAAGATGTTACAATACCCCTCTCACTCCTTACACGCCGTTTTGGTTTGCGCGGAATCCGTTGCGTTCACCCGGTCGAAATTTAAACTTTTGTTTCCCAGTACCTCTTCATATCGCAACTCCATTTTGCCCTATCTGTCTCGCTTGTTAGTCGACCAAAGGGTGATAAGGCAACTATTGTGAGGACGTTTGCTTGCTTAAAATGTACGCTTTTTGTTGTTTATGTCAATTCGCATCATTTTCCGGCCGATGTTATGTCTAAAGCTTATCTGGACTTGACTTGAATGAATCCATCCAATGGAACGTTGGTGTATAACGGATAAAAAAGTAAATGCGTAAAGAGCCCATAGAGATGGATAGGATGCGAATTTTCAAAGGTAAAACGAAAACTGCTATTAACTAGAAGGCGTTTTGCCAGACTAATCGTACTGTACACAAGAAAGGAGTTTGCGCGAGGAAGCTGGCGAACAGATGGTTGCACCAAGTTGTCTGCCGATACACACTGCATATAGTTCGCAGTGCATGTATTTATTGAAATTTCCATAATCCGATAGAAAAAGAAATATATCCCGAGTACATCAAGTGTTGACATAGCGGGACGAATGGTGCGCCAAACACCATCGTCCAACACAATCGCAGCAGGTTGATTTACGTATATGTGAACACTATGGCAAGTCTGCTAGGAGATCAACATTTTGTCACTCCGCTTTTCCATTTTGTGGCCCTCATACTGGCCACCGCACAGAACTTTTTAAGCGCACTTGTGGTACACAAAGGTGGTGCTTGCGTTTTGGGGGCTTCTTTACAAGTGCCGCTACCCCCCACCCCCAATTTTGGTTGGAGCTTCACAAGGGGACAATAGAGGCTTCTCGTTATGCAGATATTTCGAGTACTGCCTATTTCGCAGGGCTGTGCTTATACAAGTAGATGTTTGAATTTTGGTCCCGCCATGCCGTCACTGTAAACCAGTTCGAATACCTGAAGAGTATCATACACAGCACATACACAGTTTACCCCTGTCCGTCGAGGGACACCAAGCGGAAGTTCTTCAAACGTGATATTTATTGACCAAAGGACGATATTCTAAGTTTTGTTTAAACACAATGAAAGCAGGGAAGTTCGGCGTTCCCACTTTACATCCGTAAAACGATCATATATCACATACATTCAGCAACCAGTTATAACTAGATGCTTAATCAAGATTTCAACCGGCAACGAATCAGGTTCACATCATCCTCATAATTAATTATAATTCCTCTTGGAAAAATGGTTTGATTTACAAACCACGCTGACAGAATTCCCCATGTAAGTTCCGATACAGTCTGATCCTGTGGGAGTACTCGTCGTGATCTGCTCACGCCGGGTTCGTCGACGTACGTTCTGTGTCGGAACAGACCATGAAAAGGTTAAAAAACGTGGCGTCAAACAAGCGATCCCAATCAGAACAATTCCAGAGGGGAGAATGATGATAATAACACCTTGCATTTTATCTTCCTATGTTTTACATGAATTTGGCTCGTGTATCAATGCAAATTCTGCTTATTGGCTCCTACATTTAGAGAAGCGTGGCTTCCAGCAGAAACCGCATGTGCTACTAACGTGCTGATGGTACGCAGTAGCTGGACCTAATAGTTCAATGGTTCAGTAGCGTATGACAGGATAAAAAGCAATAGCTTTACAAGTCCCACAGGATGAAAAATGTAAAGAATATCAACATCAAAATGTTCCGGCATGGAACGTGGGATATAAATAGTCTAGATACGGCACTTTATCAGACTTTTCTATGCCGTTTATCACTTAGATGAAAGTCTGTCTATCGAATGTTTATGTTCGACGCGTTCACCACATGTGTTGGTAATGCAATCCAGTAAGAACAGGTTCTAAGGGCATACAAGGCATTCCATAATCCAAAGGTGAGTGTTAGGTTTCTAGTTTCAGCTCGTGGCTTCGGCATTCATCGCAACTGGCAACTTTCAGCAGTAATTTGTGCAGCTGATAACTTTCTGTTAGTAATCGGTATGTGAGAATGAGATTATTGCGAAGCGGTTGATACGCTGAATACAACACCCCGATTAAATGAAGGTGCAGCTAATAGTTAGACGGGATAATCCCTGAATTATCTTGGTAGCTATCCTTTGGGGTTGTTCCGAGAGACAAATGTCTCGTTTTGACCATAAAAACGAGGTCCAAAGCGAATGCGCAACATGGAGACGTTTACACGATTAAAGCAATCGTGGTACTAGCTGTCGCTCAAATGTATCAAGAGCCCCCTTTAAAAGCAGTTGACGGTGGAGCAAGAGTCCATGTCATCTTTGTGGACTTCTCAAGATGGTTGATGGCTTAGAACAGGGTTCAACAAATAACGGCCCTCGATGTCAGTTCATCTTATTGGTAAAACGCCCGGAACACAAGAAGTGAGAAAATTTACGTTTCGCACTGCATGCTATGTTGTTCGTGACCTAGAACCGTTCGAACACCACCGTGAGCCAGCGCGCTTTGCTATTACTACCGCACTATCAATAACTCCACATAGTTGGTAACTTGATGTGAGTGATTGCATATGAAACCCATTCATCCATGTACACCACTGTTTTTGCTTACCCCAAATCTCCATGCTGCAATTTTCCATTGGTCGGCTCCCTTGATGCATGGGTCATATCAAACAAGGCTTATTAAGACGTCATTAGTTTATGCATCTGTCATTTTGAAGCCATATTTGCCGGTTATCTGGAAGTTGTTAGTATGGAACTGCGCTGCAAGCGCAAATTGTGGAAGTTTCTACATTTTGCCGTTGCCAATGGTACGGTTATTTAGTTCCAGTACTGTTTGTTGATGTGATACCGGTAGAAACGTCCTGTTCTCGCCTCCCAAGCGAGTTTCCGCTTACATATATTGCGAACCTTTTTAGTGATATATTCTATTACCGAAGATGCCAGTGAATTTTACGTGTACCACTGGTGAGACGTATTTCCAACCGTGATCCCTTGTGCTCTCTTTGTTCCAGTCTTTCAATAGGATTCGTAAGATGCCTGTAGTTCAGTATCATCTTCTTGTTCAGACGTCATTTATTTCGCCCATCTTTATGGCTACTGAGATAAGTAAACTGGACATTAGGTGTACTGTTTTCTCCGTCCTTTCTCCCAGAGTTTTCGTTTTTGCTTGGGAATATTCGGCATAATAATTAGGCAGCCCACGCTATTCATTTTGTTCGTTATCCGGTCCGCATTAGTTAGTTTCCAATTATGCCGTCCTCTGTGAAGAACGTTTGGTGACCCCTGGCTTAGATAATCGAATTCTTATCCACAAGCTGCAAAACTATAGCGTTGTTGACTTAACTCTGGGTTGAATAGACGGTTACTACATGAGCGTCGGATGGAGAGAAGAATCCGGGCATCCCTGTCTGAGTCGGTTGAGTTCAAGTGCAGCATACCATGAGGTCGGATGCTAGGGTCTCGTCTATTCTTCGTTCTTATAAAAGATCTAGTGAAGGCAATTAATTCGGATTTCTTATTCTTCGCAGAGGTTCTCAAGCTATGGTAAACGACCACTGGACCGGATGACCAAGAAGGGCTCCAGGCTAATCTTGACGAGATTTAGGACTGGTCAGCTCAGGATATCTTGCCATTCAATATTGAAACGTGTTGCGTTGTTCAAATACGGCATATATATGCCAGTACTTTTACGCTTGGGGCACAGACTGCAGACCGGTTCCCAGGAACGTGATCTTGGGGTGCTAAACGAAATGATCTCGGCTGTTCAAAACAGCATGAAGCAGCTGCAAGAAGCAGCAAGCACGTCGGCCTCTCGGGAGTTCTCACTGATCAATCATTCCAATGTCACCCACATTTAGGCGCACCTTCACACAGCATACGCTATGCGAGCTTAGTAACCTTAGTTGAAACGGGACCTCGAGGTGGTAAAGACCCCACAGAGCAGGAGAATAAAGAATGTCAAAAATCTACGTACCTTGGCTTACCAGCAGTGGTTATAGATGCTAGGTTTTCAGTGGACGCTACCGACATCTACGTGGATATCTTATTTTTGGGTACTAACTT